GAGATGTTTATTGGCCGCGGCCGCGGCGATGGTTCTGGCGAACGTTCGGCATTTCTGCAACTTAAATCTCGCGGCCGCGGGAGATGTCGCGGCCGCGGCACCCGCGACGTTACTTTTAAAGCCCTTGCCCGATTGCACGCCTATTTCACGCCTCTCATTTTCGAACGGCTCTCACATCGTTTCCGTCTCCTCCTCCCAACCGACGACCACCGTCGATTCACCGTCCTCCGGCGACATCCCTCCGGCGCCCCGTGATTCCGGCGAACAACTCACATCAACGCACTCCATTTTCTTCCTGTCCACGCGCGGCCCCTCCGATTTCCGAACCCTAGCCGCGAATTAAACATTAATTCCGACCAACCTTCGGCATCTTGCTCTCTTCACCGACTTACCTACAGCAACATCCTCCGACCACGACCACGAGCACCGGCGGCCCACGACCACGAGCACCGGCGGTTCCTATTCCGTCCATCTTTGTCTTCCTCGTGGATCGTTCGTTTCGGGTTCGACTTCTTGCGACAAGGTACCGATAGCTCACTATACTTTNATCGAGCCGATTCAAATCGTTCACAAGCCTTTCCTTCAAACTACCGCACGCCACGTGTTCGACATTTTGCCCGAACGACCTTTCTAATGGGCAAGAACCCGTTTCGTCCCACCAAGAAGAAAACTCCTCAAGAACCGCCTAGGAAACGTCAGGCGGGCGAGTCCTCCTCTCAAGATGCCCCTCCGGAAGGTGCACGAGATGATCTTTCGGATCAATACGGGGCCCCGTTCCCGATTTACTCGCGGAAGGAGGGCGAGATTTATGCCCGTCTCTCGCAAAAGGAGGTCGTGCGACCCAAGGCGGTGGACTGGGTCCTTTTGAACGAGTTGGGTATCCTGGAGGACGTCATGAAGTACCTCAAGGTCTTGAACTTAACCGACTACGCTAAAATTGAGGAGCGGTCGTACCGGACCCTTATGCTTGAGTTCTACAGTTCTTTCGTTCTTGCCGATGGGAACGACTTCTTCACTTGTCGGCTTAAGGGACAAGAACTCGTGGTGGACAATGCAGTGATGAAGGCGGTTTGCGGGTTCANAGACGGATGCCATTCGGCTTATGCAATGCACCTGGGACTTTCCAAAGGTGCATGTTCTCCATCTTCTCAGATATGCTCGAGGACTGCCAAGTAATGCGGTGATGAAGGACGTGTGCGGTTTCACTTTCTCCGGTACACGAAGCAAGGCCCTCGATTTCGACGCCAAAAAGTGTTGGGCCGAACTCTCCCCTCATACGACCTGGGACTCTGCCGGCATGTCCAATGGACTTATCGAGGACCTGGCCACAGCTGTTGTGCATCGATTTATCTGCTACAATGTTACCGGCAAGAAGGAGGCGAATAAGGTCAGTGAGGTCGAACTTTTTCTCCTCTGGGCGATGCGCGCGGGCGTGCGGGTGTGCTCGATGACTTTCCTACAGAACTCCTTACAGGAGATTGCCCTCACTCGACGCGGACTACCGGCACTGGGGCACTTCGTTACCGCACTCGCGAACCATTTCGACATCACCCCAGAAGCCTACCGACTTCATGGTGAGATAGCGCTTCAGGAGCGGTCTGAGATGCGAAGTCTCAACTACAACGAGCTCAAGCAGGCCGACCTCATTCGGAACCGGACTACGGTTAAGCCGTACACAAAGCGCACCGCCTACGACACCTATTTCAAAAAGCTCCAGCAGGGTCAGCCTAATTCCGATCCGGCAGGGTCGTCTCGGCAACCGACGGAGGACGCGCATGAGCAGATGAATATCGACGAGGACCATCTACTTCCCCCTCCACCCGACTGGACGCCGGCGGCAAACTCTCACCCGGAGATGCCCCCGCAGCAGCCGCCGGAATGGTGGTCCACTTTTCAGACTCAGTACACCGCCGACATCCGCTCGATCCACGATCGCTTTGACGCCCAGGACAGCAGATGGGCTGCCCTCGAGAGCCGACAGACCACGCAGTGGACCAGCTGGGAGGCACAGCAGAACACTCGATGGGACCAGTGGGAGACCCGGCAGCAGACCCACTGGACTCAGATGGGTACCCAGTTCGACACTTTCGCTGGCGGCCTTCAGTCCATCCGCGAGCGGCAGGACCAGCAGGACGTTCGGATGGACAGCTGGGACCAGCGCTTCACTCAGTGGGACGCCCGTTGGGGTTCGGGTCCCAATCACCCTCACCAGCCACCATCACCTCCGGATGCACAGTGACTTGTCACTGTGCTTTGTATGTTCTCTTTTTCCCTTTCTCTTTTTATTTGTGTACAGCTTCTTTGTTTCTGTTTTTGCGTTGGTCTGTTATATGATCTAACTCTCCTTCACCGCGACTTGACAATGGGGACATTGTCTGGTTTTAAGTGTGGGGGAGTTTTACGTGATTATGTGGTGGACCAGTCTAGTTTTTAGGTTTCTGTGCGTTTTCAGAGTCTGGACATTGGTGTATTGCAAAGCTTTTTGATAATCGTTGGTTTAATTGAGAAGATGTGACGATGAGCACGAGTAATATATCTTTAATTGATTAGCTTCGTTGTGTTGAGGAACATATTTACCTTGTGAGGTTTGAGCCTTATTGTTTCTTGTGTGATATTGGTCTGAATCTTGTTAATTAGAATTTGCCTTGAGACTGCTTTGAAATAATTGGATTAGATTGATGTGACGTGAATATGATTGAGGCATTTCTTGTACTCTCTTTTCCTTTTTNA